ATATATATATATATATATATATATATATATATATATATATATATATATATATATATATATATATATTATATATATATATATATATATATATATATATATATATATATATATATATATATATATATATATATATATATATATATATATATACAAATATATTAAATTATAATATAAAATTATATATAATTTATTTATTTGTTTTTTTAATTAGTTTATTTATTTAATGTGTTTGCGCTTGTGCATGTGTGTGTGTGTGTGTGTGTGTATGTGTGTGTGTGTGTGTGTGTACTTAAAAAATTAAAAATCATTCTTTAAATGTGTTTAAAATCGTTTGCCTTGTTTAATTAAAAAATCATGTACTTACTAAACGTTCGATCGCTTGTTTAACCCCGTTCACGCCTAGTCAGTGATCAACAAAATACTTTGTTAAAATGTTACTCAGCATGGCATTAAATTTCAAATACAAACCACAAATAAGTGTGTTGTGATTTTCGTCTGCTTCTCGAACTGCTGCTAAATATTTTGAGCTGGGTTCTGGGTGAATGTCGTAGGTTCTGTTGTTAACGATGAAGAAGCCACTGCGATAAAATTTTGTTGTTTAATTGAAAAGGTGTGTATTCACTTGACTGAAATAATAAAACACGTGCAACTGGTATTTGAACAGAGAATTTATTATATCTGATTGAAAAAAAAACTCAATGTACATTAAAGTTTAAAAAACTAACTCTATTTTCATTCTACACGTTGTGAGACTGGCACTTGAACCTGGAAAACCTCTCACCTCTCCGATGTAATAGCAGTTACCCGACGACTTTTATTTTTAATGTTTGACACACTTTCAGTTATTTCATAACATGTTTTTTATTTTAATATATACACACGCTTATAAAGAAGACAATCACTGATTAAATACATACAACTCACATGATTAAAAGGGTTTTGACTGATGTTTGACGCCCCAACAACTCTCTCAGCATATTTTGAAGAAATCAACTGTCTTGAGTCATTATCAATTTTTATTTTTTTGATTGCGTTGCATCGTAATCAATATGTTGTATATTTTCATAAAAATAAACATATCTATTGCCAATAAATGTCAAAAACTAACATTAGAAACCTAAAAGTGAGCATTAACAAAAATGTTATTACTTTTATCAAACGTACATAAAAATCAGAAACTAAACTAAACTAGTCAAACTGAAAGGAAGTCATTCATGAAAAGGAAGAAATTCTTACATGTTTAAATGCATGTCCAAGACGAAGTTCTCGTTTTCGGAAGTTGTCAGGTTGACCGTCAGTTGCTGCACGTGCCCTTGATTCTGAAGTTATCATTAAATTGTGGAAATTAAGACCTGTCAGTCAGATGCGAGATAAAAAATTTTTTACTTTTGTGCGCGTGCCGTTCAGAATCGTGCCGTTAACAGACAGAAGAACAAATTTTTCATGGCCAGCTGCAACATTAAATGTTTTATTGAGAAGAAAGTTATTTAAAGTTCTGTGTACGTTAAAATATTGAAAAAGAATTTATATTATACATGCATAAAAAATAAAAAATAATCCTTCTAATTTCCCTTTACGCTAGTGCTTAACTTAAATAATTTTCCAACATTTTGCTATATGCATGTGAAGAAAAGTTAGTACAGAAAAACTAGTGCTGATGATGTCACAAAAAATTATGGATTTGTTCATTGTTGATTGAAAGTTTAAAAATGCCAAATAACATAGTAAATCAAAACTTATATGGACAGAAGTTACTCTGCTCTACATAAGAGTTGTAAACGTTTATTTCAATTACACTTTATCTTTGTTATTAACGAGCGTTGGGACGCTATCATTAAGATTAAGTCAATTTGCTAAAATGAAATTTTGACAAAAAAGGGTAAAACATATTTTGTGATGTTTATTAGATCATTTAGCTGGAACTCATAAATTAAAGATGAGGTATAAATAAGTTTCCGATAAAATAATTCGTTCCATTGTTGCGTTTATAAATACTTTGGTAATAATTTTTGATAGATTGGATTTCGTAACATAGAAGGAATTTCCTTACTTGCTATCTGCAAACTCCCCGCGGTGTAAACGATTAAAAAACAGACAAACTTCAAAAACATGATGACAATTTCAAAAATTGTGCTTGTTAAAAGTCTATCTGTTATTTTAATTTAATTAAATAATTAATGACCCAAGCAAAATATGATATACTACACAAATCTGTTCGAATTCCGCTTAGTGCTCAGGTAACACACATTTAAATACTTAACCATATACATTCACATTTAAACCATATAACCATATAACATTTTAACCATATACATTCACATGTTACTCATGAGTTAAATCACGTTCTTCATGCTAAAATCTTAATCGACAGAAAATACGCCTTCAATAGATTTAACAGCTATATAATGATACCAAATTTTAACAAGTTGTGTAATAGCGGAAATAAGTATATAAGAACATCCACACATCACACAAACACACACCGACTAAATATATATATATATTTATTTATATATGTGTATGCTATTAATCATAACCATACCGCCTGTAGGTTTGAAGAAATTCAACAACATAAGCCGACATGTTTTCAAAAAATTTGAAACATCATTTGTTTCGACATTTACTAGAGAAGCAATTGAAGTTCTGAAGTTATTCAATAGAAGCACTTCACTAATCCTTGGATACAGATGCAGATGCAAATACATAACAATAACCATACTGTGAATAATTTATTTTTAATGTTCGTTTTGACTTATTTTTATTTCTAGTGGTGCAAAGATAACTTTGTGCAAATACAGGAATTGCGTTTGTGCATGCTTGTTTTAAATAAATGTATGCATATTGCAACTTAAAATGTTCAACGAATAGGTATGGCAACGACTGCTTGAACAGCCAACAGGTAAACAATTATAGCCATCAACAGAGCGTAACTAATTGTTTTGGCTGTACGGTTATAACGTCGATAAACATTTGAATAATATAAATAAAAATAAATACTTGTTTAAATACGGTGATAACGTCGATAAACATTTGAATAATATAAATAAAAATAAATACTTGTTTTGCTCTGAATGCACTTAGTAAACCGTTAAGGATTTATTTGTTACCACCTAACTCACAATGTACTAGCTTTCAGGTAACAGGTAAGTGCGTACCTGCTATCTTAAGACTGGTACATCTTACATAAATATTAACATCACTATTATAGTGATTTATTGAGCGCCAAACGCAAAGTTACCTTGGAGGGTCTCGGAGCCTGGAACTGGATACGCAAACAGAAAGTTTTGAGTTTACCGACAAAGATTTGATGTTTCTAAGTTTAGGTTGTAGTTGTATTCTGAAAACCGCGCTTTGCAAATTTTTATTTTAGTATAGATTTTTATTATTTTATTCTTTAAAAAATCGCAGAAATCTTACAACCATATACATAGAATACAACATGCAAGTCAGTAATAAAAAATGATAACGGAATCGTAACGGAAATTAAATAACGGAGTAAGAAGGTTCAAGCATGGAAAATAAAATAATGATTTAAGAAACTTAATTAAGTATTTATTTAATATAAAAAATAATAATGAATAGATATTGTATTTATTATAACGTTGTATGTCGTATGTTATAGGTATAATGATGAGATTGAGAAAATTGAGAAAAGAGAACGAATGTGGAGATGACTTCATGACGTCTACGATGAGAAATGAAATTTTATAAATCAGTGGAGTAATTTAAACATCAATGCGCGATTGTATTTGGAGCCAATAAAGTTTTTTGAAAAGGGTTGATGACCAAATTGTGGTCACAATTTTGGAACCACATTTAAACCTAAAAAAAGTTAAGCCGGTTTGTTCTGTTTGTACAGGAAAACTCCAGCGGATAATCGATTACAGCGTAAAAATACAGTATAATGACATAACTGCTTCCGGATCAACGTTCAAATCATACGCTTCATTTCACTTCCAATGTGTAACTCAAAAAATAACAGAAATAGGTTAGATTACACAAACTACGTTCTATACATATATAAAAATTACACATTTTATTCTACATATATGAATTACTGATTACACCTCTTGCTAGCGTAGCGTGTGCGTTAAGGAACTTTCTAACTTTCTCCGTCGCTAACTTCCAGGCTGTTTTGTTTTGGTGAGCGGTTCATTTCATATTCACCTCGCGCGATGGCTGGCGACGACGACTTCATCGGTTTTAAGCCGCCTCTATACAAACAAAGGAATGAAAAAATTGTAGAAATTGTTAAATCATTTAAAGATCTTACTAAGGTATGTTTTAAAATAATTTGTGATTTATGTAATTGTAAGTAATGGTAATCGATGATGATAATTAATGATTAATCGTAATGATAATCTGTACTACAGTAGTAGTAGATTCTGTAGTAAATAAGTAAAGTAATGTATTTTATGTAATCATCACATTGTGAGTAAAGGTAATTAATCTTGGCAAGATTATCTTACTCTTAGTCTTACACGTTACATTACATCACACATACTGACTGATTGCGTGTGAGTGACAGTGTGCAAACCTCTTCTTTGCACTATCACTGGGATGAAATGAATGATGAATTTATAATTTTATATGTCATTAGTGAGTTTCTAATAACATAGTGCATAAGATAAGGATATCAGTCTGAATTTTCTTTACATTCACATCTAATCTAGATCTAGGTCACAAATGTGCTTCTCCTATCTAATTGATCTGTTTTGTATTTTAATTTTACAAACCAAAAAATTGTATATTATAAATTTCATAAATGTAGTAAGGTAAAATATTACTGTTGAATTACTAATTGCTAAGATTCAATAAAAATTAATTGCTTTTATAACCTAACATTTTATTTTAACTTAGCTAATTATTTTTATAAATGACAAATTAGATTATAGATCTTGGATGTGGTGAATGTAGATTGTTAAGAAGTGTCAAGAAATTGGACAGAATTGAACAAATAATTGGAATTGATTGCAATAAGGAGATACTAGAAGATAATTTTTACTCACTTAAGCCTTTGAATTTTCAGTACTTGATACCAAGGAGCAATCCTCTTACCATCAACATTTTTCATGCTGATTTTTTAAAAACCGATCTGTCACACCTCCGAAGCTCAAATCAAGCAGTCATTTTGTCCGAAGTGTAAGCTGGTTGATAAATAATACAATGCTTAGTTATCATTTTTTTTCTATTAATGTTATTTGAAGGATAGAACATTTGAATGAAAATGACTTGCCCAGACTTGTCAAGGTAATTTTTTATGAAATTAACCCTGATATAGTATTGATTTCAACACCAAATGCAGATTTCAATATTTGTTTCAACTTTAATAAAAGTGGAATAAAGTTTCGGCACTTTGATCACAAGTTTGAATGGACAAGAGCAGAATTTTCCAATTGGTAATTAATTTTTTTCAAATAAAACATTGTTTAACCGTTGGAACATGTTGAAGGTGTAATGGCATTGTTTCAAGATATGCTTACAACGTTGTATATGATGGAGTTGGTCTTCCTCCTGTTAATCATGTCAGTGTTGGTTACTGCACTCAAATTGCAATATTCAAAAAGATTTTTATTTGTGAAAACTCTCCTGCAAAACTCCCTAAAATTTCTGGCAACTTAGAAATGGTATGTTATTTTTATTAAAAATATGGTGTGCTATTTGTTTAAAAATATGGTATATTGTAATTATTTTTATTAAATTTATATCAACCAATTTCGAAATTTATGTAAAGGTTGGCGAAATAATTTTTCCTCATATAAAAAATGAAAATCCAATTTCAAATGAAGAAAGCATTAAAAATGATATCTGTTATACTATATATCAAACAGTGAATTTGTTACTGAAGTCAGATGAAGATAATGGTAATTTTCATATTTTTAATAAACATTTTTTTCTTATTTATTATAACTTATAGAGATCTAAGTTTCTTACTTTATATAATTATTTGGTTAAACAGATCAATTAGGTAGGGTCAAAAAATGAAATTAATGACATCCTTTGTAACTGCTTATCTAATTGTACTAAATGTTTTTCATATTCCAACTTATGCAGAATGCAAAAATGGATATGTTGATGACGATGTCGTTTATGTTTCTTTGGATTATTTAACTGAATGCAAATATTTAAAAAAGTATTTCCACAACAACTTCTCAAGTTTAAGGTACTTAATTTAATTTATCATATGATTGTTTATTTCAATAGAGACAACACGTATTTGTTGGCTATGTTCTTTGTTGAGACAGTTGTTTTTTTTTCTAGTTTTAGATTGAGAACTTTATATCTACTTCTCAAATTTTGAGAAAGTATATGTTTCGACTAATTTAGAAGACATCATACCCTTCAAGAAGCAAATTAAACATTTTTATTTGAACAGGTATTTATTAAAAACAACCGTTTAATAATTTATTTTTATAAGATAAAGTAATAATACATAGTGTAATTGCAAAAAATAGGAATCAATCAATCAATTGTGAAGTGCCATTTTCGCTATGTTCAACAGCAATGAATTTTACAAACAGATGGATATTGAGATCCGTTTCCACACAATTCTTAAGTGATGGAGAAGTAGTTAGAGAAGAAGGTAGATGGTTCCAGAGAAAAGGGCTAAAAAGAGCAAACTTAGATTTAGCAAAAGAGTGTTTAACACGAGTTAAAAAGAAGTGAGAACAAGAAGGTGATCCTAATCCGGGACGTTTAGGTTCAATTAATATATTTGATAATTACTTAGAAAATAATTAAGATTGAGACTGATACATTAACGTATAAATTTTAAAAATTATTCTATATGTTATAGGCAGCCAGGAGAACAAGATATTTAGATATATGAAAGAAGATAGGGGCACGAGTAACTAGACGAGCAGCAGAGTTAAAAGCTTTACTTGAAGGATAGAGTGTAGAATCTGGAAGACCATAATAGAGCAAGTTAACATTGTATAATATGTATGTACCTTCATTTTATGTATATGGCAAAAAGTATAATATGTAAAACAGTAATGTAAAAATGTAACTGACAGTTGGCTAAGTTCAACCAATACTATATTAAGTTTGTCGTTTATTTCTTTTAACTTTTATAAATTTTGTTAGTTGTAGAGAAATTGTTTTCGTTCCATAGAAACAGTTTTTTATGTACAATTCCAAGGGACAAAAAATGTTCGTTATATTGAGATTTTCCTTGTACAGAAGTTCGTTATAAGGAGGTCTAACTGTATTAAGAATGAACTTTCATAATCTTTGTTAAGAAAGGAAATATTTTTGTGAGACTAAATTGCTGAATTTTATTAGATCGTTATAAATTGTGTTTGATAATTTTTTAGGGATTTCCTCTTAAAAATGGATCACAAAATTTTGGATGATAAGTTCGTGGTGGTAGATAATCGTAACTCTGAATTTTGTACATTAACCGAATGCGAAGACCATATTTTGGAAAATTGTGATATTATCAATGCTACAGATAATAAAACACAGCAGCTAGAAGATTGGAATTAAATTTATCACTGGCAACGTTCACAAAAGTAAAATATTAATTGATGCACTGACGATAGCCACAAAATTATTTTTTATGAGATATTCTTATCGTTCAGTATGATTGACTACATAAACGTACATTATCATTTGCTATTTGTTCAACGTGTCCAAAAATCGATTATGTTGTGGGAAGAAAATGTCTCAAATACCCTAAATATATATATATATATATATATATATATATGTGTGTGTGTGTGTGTGTGTGTGTGTGTGTGTTATATGTACATGTTTGTGTGCTTATATATTACATTAATTAATTAACATTATACAACATAATCAATTTATATTCTACAAAATGTTATTGACTGAAACGAACGAGCAAATACAAAAGAACAGAAAGTTTTATTAAAATATTTGATATGATGCTCCTTGAATGTGAACATAGCCTTGTGTTTTTTCGAAGAGCTAGGCAGCTTTGCTGATACCCAACAACTGTCATTCTGTCAAATCATTTGTAAATTTCAAAACATTAGTTCAGGTCAGACATCGGTTAAGATATTTATTTCTTTACTCGCTTATATTTCTCAACTGATTTCATTAATTGATTTGATAATTTTAATCGTGATGGGCTAATCTAAAAATAAAATTTAATAAATGTGCATGTATGTTGAGATAAACTTGCATAGAATTTCAGCGTATGAATTGAAGTAAAGCAATAGAACTTCACGTTAACCAGTAAGCATATAACGCCATTGTTTTAACTTAACATTGCTATTAGGCGCAGCTATATTCAAAATATAATTGGCCCACAGTTCCACGCTTTATTAACTTTTATGTCGCGTTTGATTTTCTTACATCAAATTTGGTAAGTATAAAATTTGATAAGTATAAAATTTACAGTTTAATGAAAACTTACATTAATTCACTATGTGATGACCAGGCGTGGCTTTTTAACGTCCATGTGAATAACACAAAGGTTTCGTTTATGGGACTCAATTTATTAAATATGGCTCCCTGGAATGATTAAGCTTAAATAGCAAGTCAAATATTACTGATATTTTAGAATTTTTATTTATAAAAAAGGTTAATAAGAAAATTTAAAGAATGCTTTGAATTATTTTCTTCAATGAAAACATTATTAATGAGAAAATGAAAACAGTCTTTTTTTTTATACAACTATCAGTTTGATATATTATGTCATTTAAAAAAGGTTAAAAAATTTAAGTGCATCTGTGTTGAGATAAACTTGCATGGAATTTCAGCGTATGAATTGAAGTAGAGCAAAAGAACTTCACGTTAACCTCCTATTATCTTACCTGATTCTAAAACTCTTCATGTCTCTCATAAGTTTCGTAGTCTAGGTTTTATCTTTGATTCTACTATGTCTCTCTCTTCTCAGATTAATAGTGTTGCTAGAAGTTCTTACTTTCATCTACGTAGAATAAAAAAACTTTTGCCTTTTCTTGATGATCATACTCTTCTCCTTCTTGTTACTTCGTTAGTCTTATCTAGGATTGATTATTGTAACTCGCTCTACTATGGTCTTCCTGACTCTATACTCTATCCTTTAAGTAAAGCTTTTAACTCTGCTGCCCGTCTAGTTGCTCGTGTCCCTTTCTTTTCTCATATATCTCCATATCTTGTTCGCTTGCACTGGCTACCTATAAAATATAGAATAATTTTTAAAATTTGCACGTTCATGTGTAAGTCTCAATCTAAATTATTTCCTAAGTATTTATCTCCTAAGTATTTATCAGATATATTAATTGAACCTAAACGCCCCGGTTTACAATTGTCTTCTTATTCTCACTTCTTCTAAACTCGTGTTAAACACTCTTGCCAAATCTGCTTTTGCTTTTTCTGGTCCTTTTCTCTGGAACTCTCTACCTACTTCTCTGACTACTTCTCCATCACTTGCGAAGTTCAGAGCGGATCTCAAGACCCATCTGTTTTCAAAATTCATTGAGGAGCGCTGTTGAACATCGCGGAAATAGCGTTTTATAAGCTGATTGATTGATTGATTGATTGATTGATTGATTGATTGATTGATTGATTGATTGATTGATTGATTGATTGATTGATTGATTGATTGATAAACATATAACGCCATTGTCTTAACTTAATCGTCCACAAATGTCATCAGCCTATAGGTTCCTTGATAAAATATAAAAAATGTACAACGCCAACGCCGTTATCGCTACCAAATGGAACTTGAAGGGAAAAGAATGCGATAGGGTTATAATTCCTCTGTTCGGTTTAATGACATTTTAAAAAATGTTTTTAACTTTTAGAAATGTGCGAAATTCACTGCCTTACGGCTTTAATCAGCAAATTTTACCTTTAAACTAAAGTTGAAGGTTATATGTCTGTTTACATTCTTCCTAGGTTCAGAGTGTCGGATTGAAACTCCTAGCGATTAAAAAGACTAATAAATAAAACACTACGAAATAAGGAGTTGATTTGTGCGGGCTTTATAAGAAACTGCGATAACTATTCTGATAGGTATTCGGGCTGCTGATGAGTCCCCGGTAGGGAGGAAACACGTGTCCAGCCTGTCCAAACGAATACTATTCTTTTCTTCTCCCGCTCACTGCTCTTCTGGTTCGGTGTTCTCATCATCAAACGCAACCCCAACAAGAGCAAGCAACGACAAAGCATTCTTAAATAACATGCCAAACGACGATAGGCCTGGATCTTTTGTCATTCAAACCCGGTCACTGCACGCACCGCGAAACAGCGCCAGGCGACTTTAACCAGTAGGCCACATGCCGCCCAATCGAACTGGGAGCGTTAATTATTTTATGTATAATGTCTTGCCAGTCATCTGAGGCCGCGCAATTTGGTTTGTTATCTCTGAACGTCAATGCTGTCGTGGCTTCCAGTAAAGTTCATAATGTGAAGAATACAATAGGGCAACACCAACAAAATTAATCCGATATTTTATTGAAAGACAAAACTTTTTTGTGGATGTCACTGCATTTCGAATGAACGGCATTTTGTTAACTTTCGATACAAATAAGTTAAAATAAACTTTCGCAATAGAATATAATTCCATTGGGCCTAGATAAGCGGTTAAGCCCATTAACAGGTGCTACACTTTATTGACTTTTATAATATTTATGACTTTACTTACACGAAGCATTAAAAACACAAGTGTTTTTATAAGTGGTCTGAAAATATATTACAATACAATATTTTATTTTACTTCCAAAAAATAAATATACTGTATCGAAGAGTTTTTTAATTTTCCAAATTAAAAACTGTAAATATGATAAGTAATTTTGTAATAATAATTACAACTAAAGTCAATGCAAAATACTTTTTGTGGCCCTAGTCTTCTTTTTGGCCCTAAAGCACGTGCCTTGTTTGTCTAATGATTAAAACGGCACTGAGCTGAGTGTTGGTATCAGTCGGTAGTATCGAAGTTTTTGCGGTAAATATACATTGTTGGATATACAACAGCTTTGTCAATCTTTCATTAAAAAATAAATATTAAATTGTACCGGTGTAATAAATACTCAACGCTCGTGTAAACCTATAACTGAAATCAAATCAATAATATCACTCATTAACATAATTTTTTGCTAGCTATTATCATCATACTATTAACTTCATGGATATATATCCATGATTAGCTTACCTCTTTTTGATACTTTTTTTATTTTTGTTTCTTATTAACTTTGCTTTTCAATTATCTATTTTTTGTTCCTATATAACTACTTCCAAACTATACATTTCGTTCACCTGTTTTTTTCCTGTAATTTGTATTACTTTTTTGTTTTTCATTTTAACATTATTTTCCTTTTTTACATTATATTGCATTTATATCTTGCTTGTTGTAACAATCTGTCAGTGTTTAAATTTTTTAAATTAACATATATTATTAACGGACGCACGTCGTAATTAAAAAACAATTGTTTTGACAAAATAATCAAAATTGTTCGTACTTCGTGATTTCCCAGGCAATCTCCTGTAACGACTCTTTTGTCTAAGCTTGTGAAAGTGCCAAAGCTTATGTTATCAGCGCCTAATGGTCTCATTACAGAGAAAAAGCTTTGAAGGACATCTTGAGATTTTGTCCATATTTGAACTAAAAAGAATTAAGTGTCTTTTTTGTAACAAATGCCAATAAGGATCACTAATTTTCGACACAATATACGTACCGGTTAAAAGCGTTTTCGTTCTCAGACACGTTCTGACAACATGTGGATGCCAATGGCATAAATCTATCGAGTCGTTTATGTAATTATAAACATTTTTTTGCGATTCTAACTGTCCGATTAAGCACTCTTCGTAGCTAATTTTAATCACAGAAACTAACTGGTAAAAAATTGTAAACAAAGAAAATAACCGTACAAATTTTGTTACAAAACATCTAGGAATGATCAACATGTCAAATTGGGAAATAGAAAATGTATTCGCAAAAAACTACTGTAAAAATTGTGCTACAAAACATAAGAATGATCTAAACGTCAAATTTGAAAATATAAAATGTAATTACAAAATAACTATTCCACCGATAATTTTTCAACAAATTTTGAATTTGAGTCATTTTTAAGTTTGGTATTTACTTTTAACCTAGCATTCATGATTTTTGTTTTTATTTCTGGAATAGAGCTTTTGTCACAATGTTTGAGTGCGTTTTCGTATTTTGTGGCGGCTATTTCGTAATTGTTTTGAAGAAAATAAACTTCTCCTATGTTGTAATAAATTATTGATAGATGAGCTTCTTTTGCATTTTTTAATGACAATTCCAAATATTCCAAAGCTAAATCTAGTTCCTTTCGATGAATTGAAAGAACTCCTATGTCATTGTACATAACAGATAACTGTGGATTTTCGTGGTCAAGAAGCTTTTCGGCGATTGCTAAAGATTTTTTTAAAGACAATAATGAGTCTGAAAATCTTTTAACATAAAAAAGATATTTCCCGTAAGAGTCCAAAGACATTCCATAAAGTGCTAAAGTATCGATACTAACGGCATCATTTTCACCGTTCGTCTTTTTTTCTAATATATCAAGACAGTATTTATAACCAAGTTCAGCTAAATCATATTCTCCTTGAACTACATAAATCATTGACAGTTTGAGAGAAATTTCTAAAATGGAGTCATCGTCTGGTGCAAACTTTTGTACATTTATTAATTCTTGCATGGTTTCAAGGTATAGTCGTTGGGCTTTGTCGAACTTTTGTTCCGCGAATGCTAAATCGGCCATTGAGTCTAACACATATGATTTTGCTTGACTTATTTCGGTTTCATCAACGTTGACACTTTTAGAATGATTATGAATAAGGGCCAAAGCTTTGTGGTATGTGTCTTCTGAATCTTTAAATTCTTTTTTATGCTGCTGAAGCTTGCCTACTTTTATCAAGTCGACAATTTGTTTGTAAAACGGTTTTGTGTTGATGTCATCTTTAGATCTCAAAGATAACCCTGAAAATGATCCCAGAAGGAAAGCATTCTTCAACAAAAACTGCTTCTCTGAATTCAACCTTGATAAGAATAAAGTTTTACGTTTGACTTTTATAAACAAGATTTTAATTTCAGTTCTCAAATTAAAAATAAAAAAATATTTAGCTTTTTCATTAGTACCGGATTTGATGGTCTGAAGGCTTTTATTTATTTTCAGATTAAAAAAGCAACTTATTTCACGTCAATTTTTTACAATTTTATTGCCAACCTATAAAATTATTCCAAAAAAGACGTAACAATTTAACTACGTCAAATTACTGCGTTGCAATAGATTTATTTTTCTATATATCATTGTCGCAAACTGATCAATTATGTTATTCAAATCTGTCATTTCCAATTATGTTTCTCTTTCAACACTGAAAAGAGCAAAATCACTGGGACGATCTCGTCCCAATGATGTACGCAGATACGATAAAACAAGCTTCAATTTGCTGAATGATCGCTCACAGCTTGCAATTGAAACTGCTATTGTCAATAAAATTTTTGATTTCGATCGTTTATTTTGACATGTAAAGTTTTTCGGTAAATAAATAATTTTTTTTGCTTATGATAAAATTTTCACTCTCGTGAAAATTTTGTCAGCCTCATTTTGGCGCCCGAATACTTATGTACTCTCCGCCTCCTCCTCCAGCTACGCCTCTGGACTGAACCAATGAGATGCAAAACAAAATTAGAAAGTATTGACGTCGCCTATTTCAGTGAACAACGATTTGGGAGTGGTAATCAGTCAACCTGAAGCTACAAACAGTTCTATTTGAAGCTGCTGTTTCATTTGCTGCTATCACATTTGGAGCGTATTACAAATCTTTTTTCTTTAAAACATGCTCCAAAAATGCAAAAAGAAATGACTGCGGCGATTTTATTACTATTTTGTTGCATATCTTCCACAAGCCTAGATGCTTGTCATTAGAACAAACGGCTGAGCCCGAAAGATACTAAATCGGATTAGAAAACAGGGCTTTGGAGCAAGCACTTTTTTGAATTGCTCCGCTCCAGCTCCGCTCCGGCATAAAAAAAAGTTTGCTCCGCTCCGCTCCGTGCTCCGAGGCGGGAGTGTGTTTTAGAATCAATTAACACAAATTTTTTCAAATATTTTTTTAATCAATCAATTGATTGATTTTTAGTACCACTTTCGTAACGTATAGTTAAATTGATGAAATATACAAAAAATTAAGAAAGTACAGGTTCTAAAAATAAAAATGATACACCATACAGACACAAGATAATCAAGTTAAGTCAATAATTCAATCATTCATTCTAATAAACAAAATAGCGGAAAGCAAATCTTCTTTCATCGATTGTCTGTTATCACTTAGTATTAATTTCAAAGCTGAAAATAATCTTTCAACGCTGGCTTGTGATGTTGGCAAACTTGCAGCTATTCTGCTTGACTGTCTGATTCGATCTGGATAATGTGCAATGGCTTCGAAGACATTCACCTTTATTCTTCCAACATCCTCAATAGCTTTACAGTCCTCTTCAAAATGCCTTTGTATTTCACAATCATTTTCAATGTGTGATTTCATAGAAATTTTGCGTGTGTTTTCTCTTCTATCTAGCTCATTTTCAAAATCATCATCATCATCTTCAGAGATAAAATTTAAATCACATGTTGGCTGGGACACATTAACAGATGTTGACTCTTTTGCTGAATCAAATACTTTTTTTCTTTTTAATCGCAATTGAATATCAGCCAAACCTTCTCTGGCTTTGATTTTGTCTGATTTATTCAATAAGATTCTGTATCTAGCATCAACATACACTCCAGCAAGAAAATGTGTGTTGTGTAAAAGCTTTTCTTTCCGCTTTCTCATAGAAGATAAAATTCCTAGCGCAACATATTCTCCATTTTCTTCCAAACATTTTTCAAGTTTACACCACTCCTTCATAAACATACCTGGAGTAAGATCAGCAGCTTGAAGGGCAACTGTAGTGATATTAGGTTTCTCCAAAACATCTCTGATATTTTTTACTTCATTCCATTCATCTTTGCTAAGTTCTAAATCTTTTGTTCCTGCAGCAGCTACAACTTGTTCGCAATAGTCTTTGAAAAACAGAAGACGATCAAGCATTGCATATGTTGAACCCCATCTTGTTACTGTATCTAAAGATTGTGTTTTTCCATACATTTTCAATAAAATACTACGGATTGTTGGTGTTCGTAATTTTACTACAACTTGCCTAATTCTTCCTAGAATTTTTGTTACTCGTTCATTTTTTAATCCATCCCANATGGCCAGTTGAAGAGTATGAATCCCACACCTCATTAATTGAATGTTTGTGTCTTCATTAACCCACTGTGGT